ATTTTTCCAAAAAGGATTAGCATTGTAAAGAAAAACCTTTCAGAAAATATTGTAAAAGCTATAGACACAGTTCTAAGCACATGATTGGGATAACCATAAAAGCCTGGTACACATGTAGTGGGTCCCTTCTAGCTGAAAGGTAACTATCCAGATGAGGCAGCAGGAATGAAAATAAGGGTAGGATGGTGAAAGCTGTTTTTTAGCAGAGGTGTTAAAATCAAAGATGCTACAAATAGGAGAGTAATAATAATTACCAGTAGTATTTCTTTCTTCAAGTAAATAATTTAGGCCTAATGTGGACTGGGGTGGAAAACACAGGAATTGTTGAAATTTAAAAGACTACTTCTAGAAAGTGGTATGCATGTAGGGCTGCATGATGGTGAATAGGAATAAGATGGGTTGATCTTGGGTAGAGTGGGAGGTACAAAATATTTTCTCATTTTAATTTTAATTTTAAATTTTGTGTCACATGATATGTAGGTCTTAACCCATTTGCAATGAGCATGTCACATATCCGTGACATGCCCACTTTGAGTTTACTTGTTTAATTGTTTTTACACATAGATGGCTACACTTGTATTAAATCACCAATGAGCCAATTACGAGTACTGCCTGTATGCCTGTTTACTCTTTTTTTAATTTACGAAAATGTTTTATGTTATTTTATTTTGCTATTACTAATGTTTATAACATTATAGTAATTATAATGTTTATAATAAAAATAACACCATCGATATCCATAGCACTAGTAAAAAATACATTTTCCCACCAATTTAAGGAAAGGTGAAATCAGGTAAGGCAGAGCCATCTATGTGTAGAGACATTTCACAAAAAATATAAAAAATGACCGCAGCATTTTCCCCATTTTTTATTCATTTTCCGTGTCGTGAATGGGTTAAGCTATTACAATATAATGCATTCTACCTAAAATGTTATATGTAAAACATGCAGCTTCATGTATGTAACTGTTTGTTTTAGTGTGTGACTCTGTGCAGCACTAATTTTTCTTTGCATTTGTTACAAAAGGTAAATAAGCAAGATGTAATTCCATTCCATTTAAGACAACTATAGATCAATTGCTGACATTCATCTCTTTATAATGTGGCACTCCTTGAACTATGATATTGTATCAGAAATATTTGCCAAGTTTCATATATTTAACATGTTAATTAATAAAAGAACTGATATATGTAACATATTGTGGACAATATCATGCAGTATAATTTGCCCTAAATTATTATTTTTTGTATGGGTAAAAAAAGCTCATAATACATTTTATAAAAGGTATTACCTCTTTTAAAAGGAGACTTTTATAAAATTCCATGATACTGAAAGAATGTAATTTCCTAGACATCTCTAATAAAATGTTAAAAATCTGTAATTTAGTTCTTCATACAGAGATTTAATATGCAAGGAGGATGCCCACAATGCTGTTTCAAACAGGTAGATATCAAAAAGGGACTACACCAGTTATTTCTTAATTTGCAAACCTTACAGTCACCCTAATTCCTGACCTTTCCTATGTTCCACATGAATCTATATTAGGCCAGTGCAGAAGATAATACTGATATGGCTACTGCTTTCATTCTCCTCCCCCCACCATCTATAACCTTGTACTTCTGTATGGTACAGTTTAAGTTTCCCACAGCCATTTAGTAGAAGGTAAAATTTACCTGTAGTGGGCAGAATGACTGAAAATAAGACACTTTTCATCAATGGTATTTCCTTTGCTGGTTGATAATAAGAAATTTGTGCAACATGTAATACATTGGTTTACATTTACAAGAAAATGTTATGGCACTATAATAATCAAAGAGAAAAAATGCACTTACTAATACATAATAATCTGCATTGGCAAAAAATAATGTCAGAAATGAAGAAATTAGGTCACAACAAATTCTGCACAAAAAGTAAATCCACTGCCATTGGGTGGAGGTCTGGGGGCAGAGCCCCTGATAGGGAAATACAGCAAATGGTTAGGTTAGGAAGGTTTTTGGTTCATACAGTGATATTTGAGGATTTCGCAGGAATGGCTGGAGTAAAAGGGGCTTTATCTCAGTGGGGGTAAAGTCACTTTGTAAACAGTACCAATACTTTCATTTATATCATTTGCAATGGAAAATAACAACAGATTCAGGCATATTACAGTGTTCGTAAATTAAAGAAGGAATAATAATTGCAAACTTGACACCTGTGTGAAACAAAAAAAGTTTGTTTTTGTGATACTAAATCCCAAATGATCATACTTTACCTACCTTTACCTATCTTCCACCTACTTCATATGGAAAGTTTACCTGTCAGACAGAAATGACCCATCAAGTGTGTACCTGGCCTGAGACAGCGTTCCTCTTTCATTTGCTAAGAACACCGTATCAAAAGTTGTATGATAATATAAATAGAGGAGATGCGTCCACCAAAGATTAGCTCTCTCCTATATTTAAACAAGGTAAAAGTTAGATAAGAACCCACACACTTACCAACACATGCCATGCCATCTGAT